TGATCTGCTGGAATTACTTTGGAATTTACTCGGGAACCTTTTTTCACCTCATGAAATGCCAGTAAAGCTCCACCTCAATGGCCAGGCTTGTTCTGGGGGAGAACCTGCAGGTGCAGCTCTGGAGCTGAGAGGTGTGTGTGAACAGCCTCTCCCCTCCTGGGCGCTGCTGCTCCTGGAGCAGCAAATGCTGCAGAGGGGACCGGGTCCAAGGTGCAGCTTTGCAGTCACCCATCAGAGGATTCTCTGGAAGCCTCAATATTAATGTAACCCCCCAAAAAAGCACAAGATTTTGGTTAAACCACTTTTACTGTGGGTCTCAAGGGACCTTCCCTCCATGCAAGGAGCCATCCAGGCTCAGAGCCAGAGAGCACCAGGTTGAGCAGCATTTGTGAAGGTAAAATGAGCTGCTTTTGTGAAGGTAAAATGCTGCTTTGGTTCCCCCAAGAGGCGTTCCTGGCTCTGGGATAACCCCAAGACATGGCACTCCCAAAGCTCCCGCCCCAGCAGGCTTGTGTTTCCAGAGGATGCTCCAGAGGGAGGGATGCTCCACAGAGACGCTGATTGCTGATGCTATTCCTGGCTAGACAAGAACCAGAAAACGGGACCCTGGAGGGTGCTGAACCTGGGCATCGTGGATTTGCTCCTTGCTCGGTGTGGGCTGTGCCAGGCACGATGCCACAGCAGGAACCAGCCCCCATCTCTCACCACACCATCCGCCCGCCCACCACAGGGAAACACCGGCAAATCCTTGGGAGTGAAATCCTGCTCTGCCAGGCTCCCCAGGAGGTGCCAGGGAAACCAGAGGTGCAGAAGCAGGTCTGCCCGGGGCACGGCGGGATCCAACAGCCAGGGGCCCGCGCACGGAGAAACCTGGTAATCTAATAAAATCTGAGATGCTACAGGTCCTGTCCAGCCCGGCCTGCCCAGCTCTGCTGCCAGCCTCGGCCTGCAGCTCCTGCCTGTCAGCCCTTCTCTCTCCACAGCTTTGTTTCTTGCAGCCTAATGAGTCCTTAATTCAGCAGGCTTTGTCCCATAGATCTTGATTTGCCCCCGGACCGGAGGGAGGGGGCACTTTGGGAGCGCTGTCCGTGGCGGCTGCTGGGGCAGGAGCCAGAATGCACAGCTCTGCCTCTGCAGGAGCAAAGCTCTCATCTGGGAGCCGAGCTGGAGCAACGCCGCTCTTTCCCTCCTTGGAAACGTGGAAAAAAGGCATAAACCAGCCTTAATCATCCCACAGGGCATTGCTTTGCAGGGACAGGGATTTCTCCCTGCACGAAGTCCTACAAAGCCTGAACCAACAGCTCGTGTGGTGCTGCTGCCCCACATTTCCCAAGGCACATCCGTCTCCAACATCCACATCCCCAGGCCATCACCTCCTCAAGCCCTTTTGGGGATGCTCCAATGTGTCCCCACTCAGTGCATGAAGCTCATCATGTCCTGCAGGGACAAAGGGTACAAGTCAGGCAGGAAGAGGAGATGGAGGCGGCCGGCAGCTGCTCGACTCAGTGACTTATCCCTCTTATAATCAGAAAACAACTATTTTCCACCTTTTATCCACATCACCCCTAACTAGCACCATGACCCAGCAGCTGGCACTCACATCTTCACTGCAAGAGGTGAAACGTATTTGAGAAGATGGATGGACCTCAGGGACCCGCCTCCCCCTCTCCATCCTGTCCGCAGGGTGCCAGAGCCCTGCCCACAATGTCCCCAGGAGAGCCAGACCCCCCAAAATCCCACCAAATGGGAAATGCAAACAAACAATAAACCCCAGAAATGTTCCTTCACAGTTCACTGTCTCTCAGCCACTGGGATTTCTGGTGTTAGTTGTAGGAGTAACAAGTAAAACATTTCCAGAGTGTGATTTGGAAGCTGACGGTGCTGCACAGGAATAACAACGTTTGCAGAAAGTGGGATCTGCCCGGGAATGATCTCCAAGCAGAAAATAAAAAGGCCTGGGAGAGCATTACAGCAATGAGTAATCTCAGCAGTTGAATTACACACAGACCCCACCATTTCACAGGATTTCTATTTCCCAGGGAGATTCTGACCCAGCATTCCCTAAGCTCTGGGCACAGATGGATCCAGGATTCGGATGTTCAGGATGCCGTTTCCCCTCCTAGCAGCACCTGTCTTTCCCACACCAAACCTGGGCACAGCCCTTGGGATGATTTATTAACAGGGAATGATGTATCTCCTGAAACCAATCCGCAAGACTCACCCAATTCCAAGTTTGTAACTTGGGGTCAGACCTGCTGCCACGGGATGGAAGTGGCAGCTCCAGAGGGGCTTTTGTGGTTGCTGTTGTTTTAAATGAGATGGAATAAAGAGCCAAAATCCTCGGAATGGTTCGGCTGCCACAGAGCTCCCTGTGTGCTGTTTATTGAGCCACACTTCTTTGGAACAAAATTCCAGAGGGATATGTGGCTCTGCAGAGGGAAGCTGTGTGCAGGTGACCTGGAGCTGCTGTGCTTCCCTCCTTTCAATTTTCCAGCTGCTGTTATGAGACGGGAAGGATGCAAATGGGAAGCAGCACTAACTCCCTGTACACAGCCCTGCTCCCACAGTCCTACGCCCCAGAAATATCCTTTAAATCCTGTTTCCCCAGCTCCAGGGCTCCTGCAGCCAGAGTCCCACTGGGAGGGCTCTGCAGGAGCCTCTCCCACTGGCTGAGCTGCCCCTGCCACTCTGTTTTCCTCCACCATCTCCTATTTTGCTGTCATTTGCTCTCAGATGTCACCATCAAGCTGTATCTCTGCCATCCCTCAGGAGCGGGTATTATCCAGCATCTGGATGGGAATTACAAACTCAGGTTGCTTCAAAAATCCCGCCAGCCACATTTTTTCCAAGGCAACGAGTAACTGCAGCCCCTGCTGAAGTCCAGAGGACTGGAAATCAGGCCAAAACTCGCTCATCAGCATAAGGCTGGATGAGTTTGGCATTAGCCTCGTTTCACAGATGGAGAACAGCCACCGAGAGAGAAAGGTTGAGACTCGTGGGTGTGAAAGGCTGGAATAAGGCACCTAAATACGCAGTGAACGGCCTTAAATTAAGAAGCCTGATTTGCACAAGAGACTCAAACACACGGGAGCTCCAAGAGCTCCAGTTGGAGCCTGCAGACTCGGGCACCCTCATGGAAATTTCCCCACAGGTGGCTCAGGTGAGCATGCACAGGCTGGCCCTGCTGCTCATGCCTCCTGTTGCTTCCCAAGTGCCGCCTGTGGAATGCAAAGCTGGTGCTCTCAGACGCTCTCGGGATGTACCAATGCGACATGGAGCCAGTTTGGAGGTACAAGTCCTGCCACTGCCTCCAGTTCTGTATCTCCCAAGCTCGTTTCCCGCTTTCCCATCAAGGATGTTAAGACCAGGGACACTTAATGAAGACTCATCTGAGCACGGATTTGTTTCTACCTACTTTGGAGTCCATGGGAACATCTCCATGCCCAAGACCCAAAGGTAATGATTATTTTCTGATCTCTGTTCGCTTCTCTCTCTGGGTCTCTCGCAGTACTCAGCAGAGATGGAAGCTAAGCCTGAAGCTGGGGTGTCTCTGCTCTACCAGACACAGCACAGGGAGACACTGCTCCTGCTGGGCCCCCGGGAGCAGGAGCAGCACGACGCTGCTGAACTCCCCGTGGAAGCAGAGCAGCGGGACCAAACCACTCGGAGCAGGCTGAGTACTACATCCCTCAGAAACCGCAGGGAGAATTTGGGCAAGCAGATTGCAATTACCTGGCCTGGCACGGGCCCAGAGCGGCAGCTCTCGCTCCTGTCCAAACCTAGCTCCTCGCAAAAGTGACCCTGGAGCGGCGGCCGGGATCTCACCGCCGTGCCCTTGGTGAAAGACACACCTCGGTGTCGCCAGCGCTGTGTCCTGGTGCTGCTCCCACCCTTTCCCAAGGCACGAACATCACACCAAGCACTGCCCATGCTGCCACCTCACAACTCCTGTCCCAGAAGAGCAGTGGCCAAGCTCCGTCCTGTCACTGGGGGAAAGCTCTGCCACTGTCCTGTGAGGACAATGCTGTCACACACCCTAAGACGTGGCTCCGAGAAAGGGAAGCAGGTTTAATTATCGAGACCATTCTGCTTCCCAAAGGGAATGCGCACAGGTGAGTCAGGCAACTCAGAGCAGGTGGGGATTGGTGGAATCAGGGCTCCCAGAAAAGGATGGGAGCATCCAGCAGAACCACACTGGGGGCTCCTATGGAGACCCAACCACGACTCTCATTTGGGAGAGGTGGCACCGTGCGGAGCTCGGTCCCACTGGTGCTGGGGAAGGCAACCAACCTATCCACTTTTGGAATATGGAGAGTGCCCCAGGGCTGGGGATGGTCAGTGACACTGGGGGGAATCCCAAAGGGGGAACACCAAGGGGGGGAGGCACATCACAGCATCCCCAGCCCGGCTCCCTGGGGAGAAGGGGTAGAAAAGCTGGAAAACAATTGCTGTATAAGGGGAAAGGGCCCCAGCACCACAGTTCATCTCAGGTCACCACTTATCTAAAGACAGCCAGGCAGAGCCCTGGGCTGTCCCAGGAGCAGCAGCAGGCCTGAGGCAGCAGTGAGAGGCACCATGCCTGCCCCAGCCCGGGCAATGTGTGCACACCTGTGCACACGTAAAGGGCTGTGGGTGAGGCTGGCAGGGAGCGGGGTGCCAGGATTGGGATGTTGGGAGTGGAGTGTCAGGAGCGCAGTGTCGAGAGTGGGGTGTTGGGAGTGAGGTGCCAGGAGCTGCCTGTGCGTGGACAGGTGTGATGTGTGAGTGCTCATTCAGGCCAAACCCTGCTTTGCTTTCTTGCTCCCACCACCCCGTCCCAGCCTCCCTGAAGGCTCCAGACTGAGGGCACTGGACCACTGCTGCCGGGAGGGGCTCGGGGGGCAGAGGGAGACCCCAGCCTGCGGGCAGGAGGGCTGTGGTACCCCCACACAACTGAGCCCCCTGTGGCTCAGCTCAGCGCACCCAGGCTGCCCTGGGGACCCCGGGATGCCCCGTCCTACCTTGCAGTCTGTCAGGCAGGATCTGACCGAGTACTCTTCCGATTGCAAGTACTTCTCCAGCAAGAGGTCGAACTCCTCGTATTTTTCCTGAGCGTGTTGGTCCAGCCGCTGGTACGCCTGGACACAGCTGCTACAGGCCTCCCCGCCCAGCGCCCCGGCCGCCGCCACCACCAGGTCCACCATCAGGTTGTCCAGGCTGCAGTCCAGGCCGTCCGGGCCGGCCATCTCCCGCAGCAGGTCCCAGATCGTGTAAGTATCACAAAAGGAGAGGTTGAAGTTCCTGAAGTAAGCCTGCAGGAAGGTCCTCTTGGAGGAGGGCGAGGCGAAGAAGGGCGCGGCGGCGGCGGCGGCGGCGGGGGGCGAGCGCAGGGGCGCGCCGGGGGCCCGCGGGCGCTGCGGGGCGAGCAGCCGGGCGCACGCCGAGTCCAGGTCCCCGCGGGCGGCGGGGCAGGGCCCGCCGGGGCCGCGGCTCAGGTTGCCCAGCAGGGCCTCGCAGCTGCCGCCCGCCGGCTCGGCCGCCAGCAGCGCCCGCGGCCCGCGGCCCCGCGGCCGCTCCCGCGCGCGCAGCTTGGCCCCGGCGCAGAGCCACAGATGGTCGGAGAGGAGCACGGTGAAGAAGAGGAGCGAGGCGAGCGAGAGGCGCCATTTCTGCGCCCGCTCGGGGTCGGCCACCGGCTTGTCGCTGCGGCGCGGCGCGCAGCACACGGCCCCGCCGGCGGCGCCCCCGCGGGGGGACATCCAGGCGCCGCGGATCATGCCCCGGGCGCGCGGGCGGCCGGCGGGCAGCGCCGCGCTGCCGCCGCTGTCACCTGCCCCGCGC